CTTGTCAATATTTGTTTGGGGACTTGATGGATCAACCACTTTCTCTATAAAACTCCTACACTGTGCACAAGAGTAAGAAACGCATCCTGTGAAGTAATAAAAGGTCACAATGCATCCGGAAAACGTTCCCTTCCTTCTATCCAGGGGGCGTGTGGAGTCACTAATTGAATTCGGGGCCTGTGGTCCCTTCACTCCTGTCCAGGGAGGGTTGCCAACAGGTACCTCTCGGCGTCCCTTGAGAAGAAACACTTAGGTGCCATTCCCACCTTTGTGTTTCCACATCAACTGCTTCATCCTGATTTCCGTACCCTCCAATGGAATTACTTCCCTTATCTCACCCGTCTCTGCTCAGAAATGTACAGGTGTCCCATGGGGCAGAGTGACTCCCCCCAAATTCCAAGATATGTGAGATCCATGTAACCTCATTAAATCCTCTCCTTTTATTATTTCTTTCAAAGGAGAGGTGGGAGAGTTGGCATCTTGAATAACTTTCCCGACTGTGACAGCCCACGTGTGGCACCGCATTGGGAAGCATTGGGGGACACGGTAGGAGTGCCCAACTAGTGAAAGGGAGCCATCGTGTAAGTTGGGTAGTTTGAGGTACACAAGGGCTGAAAATCTCTTTCTGGAGAACAAGTACATTCTCACCAACAGGGGTAGGGGTTGTCTTTTCTCCACACTTTTGCCAACAGGTGTCTCTCCGTTTGGTCCATCTGTCCTTCTGAGCCTTTCACTCTCTCCTTCATCCCATGTGTAATCTCCTGTCATCCTGTCGGTGACGCTCAGCCTCTGACTCCCCCTGACACCCCATCCTGCTCTCAGTCTCTAGGTGCAGGGGGTTCGGCCAATGCATTTTCCACCAGGTTTGGAACAACTTACTTTCCCACCAGGAATATATGAGACAGAACGAGTCCACATTCTTGTGAACAATTGGTTTTGTCTGACTCTCATTCTCAATGCTGGGAGGTGGGCAGCAATATCACATTAGGGCTGAATTCAATTTCTCCTCTGACAACAACTGTTGGGCAATGTTCCTAAGTGTCCGGGCCATGTAACCAACCTTAAAGGACGATGGATTGGACACAGTGTTCATGAGTAGGTGGGACTCTAGTAAGGTGCCAGCATCTTCAATTATTGGGACCCTGTTGCTATTAATGGATCTGAGAAAGTGTCTCGTCTTTGCCACTGGCTCCTGGCACTGAGCTCCTAAAACCCTGGGCATATCGTGAGTGACAAGTGTCTTTGGGACGCTGATGAGATGGCTCTTGGCTGAGGGTCCTGGAGAGAGTCAGGGTGGGGGCTGGTCCCCAGAAAGACCAAGCTGATCAGAGGGTTGGAACCGTCAGGCCCTAGAAGGAGGCAAGAGCAGGAGGAGCCTGAAATGTATTTCTCCAACCAGAATCCTGTGTGCAGGGACCCCTAGGCCAGCGGGACAATGACGGCAAAAATGAGCCCTGATACTGTCAGACGGGGACACCCAGAGAATGAGACCAAAACTCCTACACGAACACAGTAACAGGCATCATATCCACAAAAGCAAAGAAACAACAAACACCCAGAAGAGAGGTTCTGAGGGCCTGACCCAGACCTGAGCCTTGGATGACGAGGGGCCTGGAGATGTGATTCATTCGAACAAGTGACAATGCCTGTGTATCCCTGTGACCACAGGTCCTGGTGGGACAGGGAACACTGATGGACAAGGTCAGAGGAGCAGAGAGGTGACACCGTTGAGGAGTGACCACGTTAAAGCCCATGATGCACTGAGCACCACCTGAGCACAGGCCCCGACCACACTCCATCCTCACAGCCTCTCCCATCCCCCCTGCAAAGAGCACAAAATACACAGGAATCCGCAGAATCCTCGGTGCTTCCATTTATTTCCTCTGAGAAAATAATTAATTAAAGGGTCTCCTTTAATTACCCGTCACCAGTCACGGCAAGAATTAAAACACGAGGTCAATCCACAGTCTTATTTCAATACAAAGCAGGAAGTTGCAGCTTAGAGCAGCAGGGAGTAAAGGCAGGGATGGGGAGGGCCCAGCCCGCCTCTGCTGACAGGAAAGTGTGGGGAGCAGAGCAGGCCAGCCCCCCAATCAGAGGTTCTTGAGTCAGGAAGTGGGAGCATGAACATCTTCCATCACTCAGTCCCCACAAGGCAGCTGCCTCACGCTGTGGAGGACAAGCATCATGAACACATTCAGGTCAGTGGCTGTAACTGGTGACATTCTCAAAGCCCACTTCATGCTCACAGTGTCCCACAGACTCCCCACCACCCAGTCCTCCCTTCTGCCCACCCCTCCCCATGGCAGGGTCTCACCTTTAGAAGCTGAGAGAGACACATCAGAGCCCTGACCTGTCACTGCCTGGGGGGTTGAGGGGGACACAATAGGAGAGGGTCAGAGCCCCAGGGCAGGAGACTAAGGAGGAACTATTGGGTGGGGTCCCCTATGGCTCCCATCTGCACTGTCACAGGGACTCAGGGGTCCCCCCTCCATACTCACTGGCAGCCTGAGCGTAGCTCCCTCCTTTCCCACCTGCGGGAAGAAAACATCCTGTGAGAGACCAGGGAGGGGGCAGGGCCATGAGGTCCTAAAGGAAGCCCTAGTCCTGGGCCTCAGAGAAGTTTCCAGAACCCTGTGTATAGACCCAGGGCAGGATAGGAAAACTGAGGGAAGTGCATGTGTGAGGACTGGACCCATCGCCATCCTGGAGGTCTATGCTCAGCAGGGACCTGCCCCCTGACCTGGGACTGCTGGGAACGGGGTCCCCACCACCAGCATCATCAGGTGATAAGTGGGTCCCTCATTTTCCCACGGGCCTTACTACAGAGTAAGTGTGAGCACAGAGCCCCACACTGGCCATCACACGGGTGGGGATGGTGCTTCCCATAAAGGAGGCGGGACACATGTCTACCTGGGCTTGAATCCCCAGTGGGACAGACACTCAGACCCCACCCCTGCCCACCTGAGCGCCGTCTCCCCCACATCACAGCTCCAGACACAGCTCCCAGCAGAACCAGGCCCCCAGCGATGCCCATGATGATGAAGATTAAGGTCTGAGGAGGTGGCTCTGGGAGGAGAAGGGAACGGAGGGTCAGGGCCCTGACCCCAGGCCTCAGCCCCGACCCCACTGAGGTCCCCAGGGACCCTGCTGCCCTGAGAAGAGGCTCTGTGCCCACGGCCCCTCCTCACCCCATCTCAGGGTCAGGGGCTCGGGCAGCCCCTCATGCTGCACATGGCACGTGTATCTGTGCTCCTCTCCAGGGGGCACCCCCACGGCCGCCCACTTCTGGAAGGTGCCGTCCCCCGCAGGCCTGGTCTCCACCAGCTCCATGTCCTGGGTCTGGTCCTCCCCGTCACGCTGCCAGGTCAGGCTGATGTCCGCAGGGTAGAAGCCCAGCGCCCAGCACCTCAGGGTGACCTCACGGGCAGAGACGGGTGGTGGGTCACGTGTGCCTTTGGAGGGTCTGAGGGAGGGAGAAAATGCAGGAACTTTGCAACCGCCATGGGACACTCCAGCAGTGCCCATGTGACCATCCTGAGAATGGACAGACACCTGGGTGGGGGAGGGAGCACACAGCCCACACACCAGCCTGGACAGAGGCACCTGGAAGGACCTTCTAGTCTTTAGAAAGTTCTAGAATCAGAGAGACACAGCCCAGGGCAGCAGGCCATGTGACTCAGAAAAGCTGGGGTGAGGCCTCAGACACAGTGGGTGTGGGCAGCACACAAGGCCTGAGAGAGAAGGTCCCGTTGGGTCCCAGAGCCCCTGCAGGGCCCATGGGGACCGCTGATGGGCTCTTTCAGGGGGTCTCCCTGCAACCCAGGAGAGCCTGCACCCCTAACTGCACCTGAGAGGAGGGGGGTCCCTCTGGTACCTGACCTGCCATTCAGGGGTCTCCCTCCCTGACCCCACGGAGGGGTGTCTGACACTGACCCCCTGTGTTATCTCCTTGTAGGAGCCCCAGTCCCGGGAGAGGGGGCGGCCCCAGGGCCCCTGGTACCTGCGCGCTGCAGGGTCTCCTTCCCTTTGTCCAGGTACATGAGCAGGGACTCCACACACAGGCCCTCCAGGTAGATCCTCCTTCTGTCTGCCGCACCGGCCGCCTCCCACTTGCGCTTGGAGATCTGAGCCGCCATGTCGGCCGCGGTCCAGGAGGTCAGGTCCTCGTTCAGGGCGATGTAGTCGGCACCGTCGTAGGCGTATTGCTCGTACCCGCGGAGCAGGCGCCCCTCGGGTCCCAGGTCGCAGCCAGACATCCTCTGGAGGGTGTGAGACCCTGACCCCGCCCCGCCCGCCCCGCGGGGACTGAATCTAAAACTGAAAGTGAAATCGGGTCAAAGTCCCCGCGGGCTCCTCCCGGGTGGGGGCCGGGCGGGTCCCGCCGCCTCGGGGTGACGCTCGGACCCGGACCCTCGGGGCGACCCCGGCCCGTCCGTGGGGAGGGGGGTTGTGACGGGCCCGGCGCGCGGCTCACCGTCCTCGCTCTGGTTGTAGTAACTGCGCAGGGTCTGCAGGTTCCCTCGGAAAGTCTGTGCGTTGCCCTTGGCCCTTCAGCGTCTCCCGGTGGAAATACTCCGGGTCCTCCCGCTCCACCCACGGCTGCTGCATCCACGGCGCCCGCGGCTCCATCCTCGGATTCGGGGCGTCGCTGTCGAACCGCACGAACTGCGTGTCGTCCACGTAGCCGACTTCGAGGTACCGGGGTTCCCCGCGGCCGGGCCGGGACACGCTGGTGAGGAAATACATCAGGGAGTGGGGGACTGGGGGGCGGGCGGAGGGCAGGGCCGGGGCTGGACACGCGCCTTCCCGGCCCCGCGCCCCCGCCGGGTCCCCTCGCTCCTCCCGCACCGCCGCCCCCTCCGACCCCGCACTCACCGGCCCAGCTGGGGGTCAGGACCAGCGCCCCCGAGAGCAGCAGGAGGAGGGTGGGGGGGCTCAGGACCCGCATCCTCGGCGTCGGGGGGACAGTCTGAGTCCGGGCGCTTCCGCGGAGGAGTTATAACCGGGAGCCTCGGGGACGCTGATTGGCTGCTCTGGAAACCGCTCAGCCAATGGGAGTGAGAAGTGTGGTCGCGTCACGAGTCTCCAGGAAGGAGGCGCCGACACAGGTTGGGAGAGGAGAAGTGAACCCAGGAGCTGGGGAGTCCCCACCACGGAGCTGCCCCCCCAGACTCTGTCCCTGCGGAGCCCTGAGCGCAGGCCTGGGCCCTGGGACTCGGTCCTGCCCCTCCTCCTGCGCGGGGCGCCCGTCACACTGTCCCCGAGGCCTGGCCCGGGCGCTGTGCTGTTCAGGGACTTTCCAAGGTTTTGGTGTCACCATCTCTGTGCGGCCTCACACACAGGCAGGCGCCCAGATAACCTGTGTGTGTGGTGACGTCATCATAGTGACCCTCACGGATCACACAGGGTGAGACAGTTATTAATCCAGGTCGCATGCTCACTGCCTATGAGATGGTAACAGGAGTCATGTATTTAAAAATATATATATATTATATTGATTTCAGAGAAGAAGGAAGAGGAAGAGAGAGATAGAAACATCAATAATAAGAAATAATCATTGATCGGTTGCCTCCTACACGCCCCACACTGGGGATGGAGCCCACAACCCAGGCATGTGCTCTGACAAACAGTTGAGCTCTGACCTCCTGGTCCATAGGTCAATGTTCCACCACCGAGCCCCGCTGGCTGGGGAATATTGAATAGTTTCTCTTCTGTTCTCTCACAGTCTCCAGGGATGTCTTGCTGGGTGGCTCTGGTCCTCATGCAGGTGATGTAAAGTGATGCCTTGTGTCTCTAAGTCCTAGAGACCTTCCTGTGCTGATGCATTTAATCACATCATCAAAGCTCACAGGTGTTGCTGTTCCCACAGAGCCCCCTAGAAAAGCGTGTCAGCACTGGGGAGCCGTCTAGCTCATGTGGTGGGACAGACCTTGTTCCAAAATTCTGGTTTTCTCTTGGGAGCTGACATTGTATCAAGACAACAGGACTGTCAGTTGGCACCTGCCAGGTGATATTTCCTGAAGGGAAAAGCTCACGTTCATTTATAAAAATATGTATTTTTGTTGATTTCAGAGAGGAAGGAGAGGGAGGGAGAGAGATAGAAACATGAATGATGAGGGAGAATCTTTGATTGGCCTCCTCCTGCTCGCCCCATTTGGCATTGGGCACACATTGGAGATTGGGCCCACCACTCGGACATGTGCCCTTGACTCGAATCAAACCTTCAGTCTGGAGGCTGATGCTCTACCCACCGGGCCAAACCAGCTTGGGCACTCATGTTCATTATTGAGAAAGTGTGAGCCAGTTCACCAAATCTCAGCAATACTAGTGTCTGTGCCATTCGTTCTGTTACATAAACATGGGCCAGGCCGGGTGTGGCTCAGTGGCTGAGCATTGACCTATGAACCAGGAGGCCAGGGTTCGATTCCCGGTGCGGCTCCTGCAGGGTTGCAGGCTAGATCCCCAGGGTGGGGCATTCAGGAGGCGGCCTACCCATGGTTCTCTCCCATCATAGATGTTTCCATCTCTGTCTCCCTCTCAGTTTCTCTCTGAAATCAAATTTTTTAAAATATATTTTTATTGATTTCAGAGAGGAAGGGAGAGGGAGAGAGAGATAGAAACAACCATAGTGAGAGAGAATCATGGATCTGCTGCCTCCTGCACGTCCCCTACTGGGAATTGAGACCACATCCTGGGCATGTGCCCTCGACCTGAATCAAACCTGGGACCCTACAGTCCGCAGACCTATGCTCCATCCATAGAGACAAACCAGCTAGGGCTCAATTTTTTTTTTAAATGTAAACATGGGCCCTAACCAATAGGAGGTGTTTCTCTGTCATCAATGTTCTAACTCTCCTATCCTCTCCCTTCCTCTCTGTAAAAATCAATAAAATATAATTTTTTTAAAAAGTAAACATGGGATCCCATGAGAAAGAGGCTAGCTCAGCGCCCACACATGATCTCCCTGGTACATGAGACTTGGGAATGTGGCAGAAGTGTTTTTTGTGTACTTCCCAGGCCATCGTATAAGGTTTTTTTTATCCTCCATTTTTATTAACGACAGTTAAGAAATTAATCCATTTGTGTAATGAATGCAACATACATATGTCTTCTTTTTAAAAATATTTTTAATATTTCAAATATAGTTGATGTACAATATTGTGTTAGTTTAGGTGTACAACTCTGGTTAGACATTCATATAACTTATACAGTGATCACCCCCATACATCTAGTACCCTGTGACCTCACATGTAGTTGGTACAATGTGATTGACTGTGTTCCCTGTGCTGTCCTTTCCCTCCCCGTGACCACACTGTAAGGACCATGTTGTAGCTCCTCCTCCTTCACTTGCTGTGCCCAGTCCCTCCTCTGCACTCCGGCAGCCAGCAGTCTGCTCTCTGTGGCTGAGTCTGTGGCTGCAGTAGGATCCTGTTCGGAGGATTCCAGGCGGCTTTGAGTGCCTGTTGTCGGGAGGGTGGTGGTCATTGTTCTGTGGTTGTGGGCGATGCAGGCACCGCGTTCACCTTTGGGGCATCTTCACCAGAGGCCAAGATGTTTTAAAAATGTGGATGGAAGGCCAAAGCCGGTTTGGCTCAGTGGATGGAGCGTCGGCCTGCGGACTGAAGGGTCCCAGGTTCGATTCTGGTCAGGGGCATGTACCTGGGTTGCGGGCACATCCCCAGTGGGAGGTGTGCAGGAGGCAGCTGATCGATGTTTCTCTCTCATTGATGTTTCTAGCTCTCTATCTCTCCCTTCCTCTCTGTAAAAAATCAATAAAATATATTTAAAAAAAAAACGTGGATGGAAGGATGAGGCTTCAGTAAAGAGAATAATTTCACCTCCTTCAATCGTGTCGTGTCGTTTAAAAGCGAAACTGGTTTTGTGCTCTGTCTGTCTGTCTTCTCTCTGCAGGTCAGTGCTGGGAAGAGGAAGGACCATGGAGGTCGGGTGTCAGCCCATTCATGCTGAGCTTGGCCTCAGCGCCCATGTCAGCGGAGAGAAAAGGCGAGTATGTCCTCCATCTCCTGCAAGCAGTGCTGACCCCCCACCTCCCGGGAAAGGCTCTCAGATCATTCAGGGTTCCACAGACCGCACTTTGAGAAAGGTTGATCTGGATAAACCAGGGAGAGAATCCCAACTGTCCCTGCCTTTCCCTCCTCTTCTCTTCCCAGAATCCCTCTGCATAAGGAAGGGGGTCCCTGCACCCCAAAACTGAGCTCACAGCACTGCCCCTGGGACCTTCTAGAAGAGAGTTCACCCTGAAAATCCGACAGGGAGTGTCCTCAGCCTGGGAGGGAGGTGGAGGGACAAGGGTGTCCCCTCTGGGACAGGGAGCAGTTTGTGCCTGAAGACACCAGGCCCACAGACACCCATGTGGTTTCTCCACCCCAGCTGAGTGTGTGCTCACATCCCAGACAGAAACCTGACGTGTCTGTAGGAGAAGCCATCTTGGCCCTTTTATTTTATTCCTTTGATTTTTAAAAATATGTTTTTATTGGCATTAGAGAGAGAGGAAGGGGGAGGGAGAAAGAGAGGAACGTGGATGTGAGAGAGAAGCCCTGATTGGTTGGCTCCCCTAAGCGCCCTGACCCGGGGTCACACCTGAAACCTTTTAGTGACCAGGACAGCGCTCACCCCACTGGCTGCACCGGCTAGGCCCGGCCCTTTTATGCAAATGGGCCGAGTGCTCTGACCTGAGGCCCGACCCTGTGCAGAGCAGTCTGTCCAGCAGGACATTCTGTGAGCGAGGACTCGCTCTGCGTCGGTTCCTCCTACGTGGCACCCTCCAGCTGCTGTGGCCACTGAGCCCTTGACACGTGGCTCCTGTGCAGAGCTGGGGGACTTGCATGTCATGGACCTTTAATTCAGCCGCCATGGAGGTTGTGGAGCTCCCACATGAGACAGCGCCCAGCTAAATGCTCTTAGTTTCCAGTCTTTGCCCCCACAGGACACCGTTTGGCTCATTGATGGATGGAGGTGACAGTTGTCTTCACCTGGAAGCCATGGGTTTTCATGTGTCACTGACTTCAGTTGTGTGTGTGGGTCTCAGATACACCCTCACTCACAGCTGCCAGGAGAGTGTAATTAATAGGCATTTAACACCGAGCTGCACAGGCATGAACTCAAATGTGAGTTACCCCCTAAGGGTGAAGGGTTCACAAACGCTCCTCCCTGCAGCCATCCTGTGTCCATCACCTGGGACCTTGGTGTTGTGTTTGTTCACCTGGTGAACATGGGCAGGCACACAGGGCTTTACCGCAAGAGAAAATGGATATTAAACCCAACAGACAGCAGCTCCCTGTAGGCCCCACACATACTTATACAACATAAAGCAGAGGCTGTCACCTGTAGATTCCACCCTAGAATCCCTTACCTACTGCTCCTCCCCTTAACTTCCCCCCAACATTCTAACAATTCTGTTTCCCTTCGCCCTTGGATAGCTCTCCCCCTGATGAAATTATATATGAAGCCTTTTCAGTTGTGTAATGAAAATTTCTCCATCCAAGACCCAAAGATGAAAAACCATGAAGGAAAACATGAAACTTTTCTGTGTCAACCTCACACCCCAGAGATACAAACTCAGGGCCAGAATCAAAGTCAGAGACGCACAAAGATGTTGACAGGGAAAGGGTCCCGTGGCCCAGTGTTCCTCAGCCAAAGGCCAGGAGGCTCCCTGTGGGCAGGCGAGGTGGGTCAGTCATCATTGCTGGAGGAACAATGCTTCCCATGGGGACCATGGGGCATCCTAGTGGGAAGGGGGGAGAGAGGACACATCTAGGGTGTGGGCTCTGGATGGACGGCCTGGGGGAGGGTCTGGGGAGCAGGCTTCTCTAGATGGTGCTGTCAGGAGGGGCAGCTCTATGGGTGGGCAGCTCAGTGACCATCTAGGGACAAGACCGCCTGCAGCGAGGGTGGAGGGGCCGCTGGGGAGAAGCAGCCTCGCTTCCAGGAGCCAGCGCAGGGAGCTGTGTGGTCCTCTCTGAACTGGGGGAGGCCCTGTGTGTGTCTGTGTTTAGACGCCGGGAGTGGGTGTTGCTCTGTCTCCCTTGTCAGGGCCTCAGGGCGGCCGGGTCTGAGGGTGACGCTCTGAGAGGTGACTTGTGTCCAGCAGGAGAGGAACCCGGCCCAGCTGTGAGCTCCGGCCCAGCTCCCGACAGCACTGAGGCCTCGTGTGTCAGACCAGTTCCCGTGGGGGCTGCTTCTCCTTCTGTCTGAAGTCCAATATCTAACAGCATCCACCACCCAATCCACAAGTAACGCACATGAGGAGACAATGTGGAAAAGATGAAATACAAACGTCAAACAAGTGTATTTGTAATAAACACATGTGA